TCCAGAGCCTTAAGCACCATGCCACCTGCTGTCCCGAGAAATCACGTGGACTTACACAAAAATCAAGTAAGAAAAGGTTTGTATCCAATGGTCACAAAGCAGATTACTAAGAAATGCCTGCTGAATGAATACAGGCTCTGGCTTCCTAGGTTTACACTCTAGTCACAGTCACCAGACCTGTCTGCCAAGGGATTTACCTGGACGTCGGACATGCGGAACGTCTTAGGCTTTGACCTCACTCTGTAAACCACACTATCACCTCGGCCATCATATGCGTCCATTGTGGGGGCAGCCGGAGTAAACACTGGGGTTACTGGGCCGTCAGTGGGAAAATCAGTGACCAGTTCATCAGATTCATCAGAGTGGTGAGACTCGTCAGAGTGGTGAGAGTCGTCAGGATGGTCGGTGTCGTCGGAGTCATCGGAGTCCTGACTGTCCACGTGGTTGCCATCATCTTCATCGTCCACATCGTCCATGTGGTCATGGCTTTCATTGGATGTGCTTGGGAGAGTCTAAAAATTAAGACGGCCAGGAAAATCAGTGTATGGGTTTTAATCTTGCCTTAGTCTTTCACGATCTTTCTTTTATTCCGTTTTAGAATCTTTCCATGTACTATACACCTCTTGGCTTTTGGGAGCTGAAGTGAGCATTTCCCAATTTCTCTTTCAACACAGGGTTAAGGGGAGTAATATTCTGAGATACTTTCCTTGCTTTCCAATAAAAAATTATTTTCAAGCCACGTAATATAAATATAACATTCATATTGATAATATTGTTCTTCCTTGTACAGATAGGGCATTATTTAGTTTATTAAATTCAATGATGCAATAGAAACTGATACATAATTGTGAAATTGATTTTTCTACTTGAAACGAGGATGCTCAGGGATCAGTGTATCTATCCAGGGATTAGAGTGTCTATATCTATCTATCTATCTATCTATCTATCTATCTATCTAATCTATTTATTTTTTTAAAAGAATTATTTTATTTAACTTTATTTATTTATTTATTTATTTTAATTTGACCAGAGAAAGGACAGAGCAAGAGGCGGGAGTGAGAAAGCAAGCTGCCAGGTCCAAGACTTGAACCATGGTTGACCACATGGGAGTCTAGCACCCTTAATCACAATGCCACCTGCTGGCCCCCAAAACATCCATATTTTAATATGTATACCTAAACCTACTACCACCTCCCATTAGCATGGACAATTGACAGGTGACTCGAACATGCACGGATGTGTAAACTGATGCTCAAATCTGTCCATTGAATTAACAGACTAATGTGTATTCCATTTCAAATGAGCAAATATGCTGGGCCATTAATCTACCTTTCCTTACTAGAGATTCTTATGATATTCAAAGTGAATCTTAAGGAAAATGAATTTATGTCGTAGTTCAGTCAATATATTAATCCTAATGTAAAAGATAGTTATCAATAAACTATTAAATTAGGAACAGAAACATTCCTAAGGGCAGAGTCTTGGCTTTGGTAGGCATTAAGTAGATGCTAATCAGATACTGACGACACTATCTTCAAAACGCCTTGAATAAATGGCAAGAGGCTTAATATTTCAAATAACAGGCATTAATGAACATTTCTTATGACGCTAAACTTACCTAAAATAATTGATTTTTTGACTTTTGATAAATGCATGTTTTTATTCTGAGCACATTTTAGACGGGGAATCTAATGGAAAATTTGTAAATGAAATTTCATCAGACGAGAACCCAGGCAATGGCATCGTTCATCTCTCCAAGGCGTGACGGGCCTCTGACTAAGAGTGCGAACTTACCTCCTGTTTAAGGTCGTCAGTTTCTTCAGAGGACACGGCATGCTGAAGAAGGAAGGGCACGCATCAGTGTACAGTGTATTCAAAGTCAGCCTTTTCAATCCAAAGCGCTTTTACTTTCAGCCTCGTTGGTGAAAATAATGGGGGACGGTGGTGGTGAGGTGGTGAAAGATGGGGGGTAGAGAGGTGGGAAGTTGGTCGGGGGGAGAGGCCAGTGTGGTAGAACCTCTGGCGTCCTAAGCACACACACATTTACAGACAGGTAGGAAGGATCCACTTCACCAACCCAAATGGCCTGCATGCTAGTTATCTTTCATTGTTGCTTAATCTGTAGACGTTTAAGAATACCTGAGGTGCTAGGAGATTCTGCTTCAGAGATGGGTCAGGTTTTAGCCATGTGGCCACAGCATCTGGGTATTTGTTGTAAAGCTACAAAAAAGTTGCATATTTGTCATTATTAAAACACACACACACACACACACACACACACACACATACAAGCAGAGGGATCTCTTAGCAATAAACTGAAAACAACTCAACCTAACCAATCTTGATCAATAAACATAATATGCATTCATACAGTCAGCCAGAGCCTTAGATAGCTTTTATATAATATATTTTGCTTTGCAGATTCATTTACCAAACTCTTTTTTTTTTTTTTTTAAGGTTTTTGCCATAGGGTGTATATGCTCACCAGAGAAAGAGAGACAGAGAGAAAGAGAAAGTGAGAAATCACCCCCAGGGGGGGAAGGCCACACTGCAGTCCCTTCTCCTCCATTCTCCTCTTGGGATTTTGGGCACTCACACATGCGTGCCCAGTGTGATTTCCAAGCTGCCAAGTTGGAGATTCAAACTGCAGTTGGCTAAGTAGGAATCCAGCGCCTTAACCACCAAAACACCTGCTTGTCCCACATTCTCTGTCGTATCAGACAGTGCAGACAGACGACATCGACACGACTGCATGAAAGTCCCTTTGCTTGGAGGTGTCCAGGGTGTAAACGGAATGGCCTTGCCATTAACCAAGTGATTTATCTGGAATCAGTGGCAATATGCTAGGGCAGAGGAGTGTCACTGGAGAGCCTGCATCAACCAGCCATGCACTTCACACTCCTGTCACTGAGAATGAGAACCCTGGGGGTTCCACAGAGTCCCCAAGTTGGGATGAGCAGGGAGGGAGCCAGTCAATAGCCACTCATGGCTGGTTCTAACCAGAGCAATCTCACGAGGCATCCCTGGAAGCTTTTGCTGAAAGAAGGGTTTCCTCAGCCTGTGAGTGTGTGCCCAAAATCCTGAGAGAGGAATGGAGGAGAAGGGATGGAGGTGGGGCCATCCCCCCAGAGGGCGACTTCTCTTCTCTGTCTCTGTCTCTCTCTGGCAAGCCCACATGCCCTGTGGCAAAAATCTAAAACAAAAAAAGAAGGGTTTCCTTTCCTAAAATGTAAAAGCTATCGGACTAGATGAGTTTCAAGTTTTCCTCTTTATTTTTTCAAATATATGTACATTTGTATATATGTATATATAAACTTTTCCCCCTTGTACATGTAATAGGAAGAAAATATGGATAAGCAAAATAAACAGATTGAAAACCACCCAATAGATAACTGATGTTTATTTTGGGGGGTAAAATCTTACAGTTCTTCTCTCTAAATTTGGGGCGTTCTAGAAGGGTGAGGCTTGACTTCATGTCTTACCTCTTAGACATCACATAATGACTAATACTGTGCTGGCTTCCTGTGCTTTCAAAAAAATGCATCCTTGCTGTATTTTATTCTATTAAAAAGACACCAATTCTTGCCTCAAATCGTGTGATCTCTTCCTCCTCCGGAGATGTTCATTTTTCTAACTTATTACTGGAACTCAACACCTGGATTCTCAAATCCTTTGGAAAACAGACACACCTACACACACTCACTTGCACGCACATACCAGGTGCGTGCACACACATGTGCACACACGCAGACTACCTCTCTTTAGGTCTTGGTTAAGCAACCCAATTGCAGTGACCCAGGCTACTCTGTCTCGGCCCTTTCTCCCTGTTCATCTGGAATTGAACGCTGTGTGCCTTTTTGTCCAAGCGCCTTGGGACAATGCGCGTTTGTTGTTGGCTGGCTCAGTTTCACCCACTGTGGAGCGGAGGGGCAGGTACGTCTATGGTGCTGGGCAAATCATTATAATAAAGAGTTTGGTTCGGTCTTATGTTCGGTTAGAAAAATGTGGTCGAAAGTCAGCTGACAAGCTCAATAGATACAAACAGCATAAAGAGTCTTTTCACAATAGGATTCTAAGGAAATATCTTAGGGGATATTGTGAATATTATGGTCAAACGAACAGTCCTGACCAATGTCCGAGGTGAACTGAATTTTAAACTTCGCCTTCCACTGAGTAAAGCAAAGACTGGAATTTTCTGCTTCTAAAAACAGTACATTGACTCATGGAAAGAAAAAGATCACACAGGTTCATAGAACTAATTTTACATGTGATAATGGCCGAGAGCATTATCTTAGTATATAATAAAACCTAGCTTGGTTTTTAGAAGCACAGAGTTATTAAAACGATACTATGCTTGTTACTGGCCCACCCATAGCAGGTAGTCACTAATATACTTATAAATGGGCTATAATAATAAGTAAAATTGCAACAAATACATTTGTAGCATTTCTTGCAATAGTTGCCTAAGTCACTCATCTATATGATAAACCGGAAAGATGCTTACCTGCCTCTCCTCAGAGCTACCAGAATCAGGCTGCTTAACCTTTGGGACAGAAAAGATGAAGAAAATTTACAGCGCGAATGTGTCCCTGGCACCGCAAGAACATGATGTATTTATTTTCAAAAATATTAAGATTTAGCTATACTCACCGGAAGGGCATAGGCAATGCCTATGAGGCAAAAGCAAATCACGGCGACTCTCATGTTGTGATTTTTCCTGCAAAATATTTTGTAAGAAATATTGGATATTTTCAAGGGTTAAAACAGCAGTACTTTTTTATACTACCACATTACAAAGTAATCACAAATACAAATATTTTCTATGGCATCTTTCCTAGTTTTTAAAAACTTATTTAATTTTATTTACTATCTTTTTTTTTTTTTAATTAGCTATAGGGCACATGTGTTCACCAGTGAAAAACACAAAGAGAGAGAGAGAGAGAGAAGGAAGTGAGAAAGTAAGCCACACAGTTCAGGACTCGAACCATAGTTATCCATGTGGGAATCCAGCACCTCAACCACTATGCCACTTTCTGGGCCCTCTTTTCTTCTTTTTAGAAAAGACTTTTTTTTTTTTGCATATTATAGTCTTTCAAATTAATATTTATATTCCCACTTCTATTCTCCATCTCTCACTATTAGGCAAGGGAGAGGGGAACTTTACAAGTCTGCAGTTATTCTACTTTTAAATTGAGCATTCCAGAGATTGTATCTTGGTATCTTTTCTCACTTCTTGGTATTGCCAGCAACTTAAACCCAAACACAGATCGATAGTCATTTAAAAAATAAGCCACTAAGGAAATAATTTGTTTTTCAGAGAATAAAAACAGAAAAAATGAAAGAAATTTGCTTTATTTATTTACCAGCATGCATATCAGACATGATAAATAATTGTTAAGTAGGCGTAAATGAGGTAAAACAAAGCTATCTCTGAAGTCAAGGAAGTTATTCTAGAAATTCAGAATGAAAACCAAAATAAGTCAATAACTGAAAACAGTCAAGAGTGTCTCTGAGACTGCATAGTCACACGGGCCCCTTGATAAAAATGTGAACAGCTAACACAGAAGCACAATATTCAGATATTTTTCTTTGAAAATGAGGTAAATCATTTAAAAAATAGCATTATCTCGCTGTTGGGGAAAAAAAAAACAGTACATTTTGCTTTATAAAAAAAATAAAAATAGCATGATCATGGGGTTAGATTAGAATGAAAATCTCTTTTCCTTTTCAATGCCTCCACAGTCCCGTCTGCCTCGCAAATGATATAGGTATAATCATTCCAAATAGACACAGGATTTGGCTTAACTCTGGGAGCAGCAGTATTTTTTAAGTTTTTTAAGTTTTGCATCCCACTGGATTTGAAAATGCCTGGGCACCTTAGTTTCAGATCTACAATGTATTACATCTGACCTGCTTATTCAAACGCCTGGAACCCTTCAGGTCTGATTACAGCATTACCGTGACCAACTATCAATATTTTCCTGAGGACGTGGGGCTCCCTGTGCTCACCAGGGAAACCCCTGGAACGCTCTGACAGCAGCAGAGCGCACTGCAGGCTCACCTGGGCGGGTCCCGACGAGAAGCTGCGCAGTCCCGACGTGGCTAGCTCCTGCTTCCTCTGGCTGCTGCCGGCTGCCGGCTGCCTGGTCCTCCCGGGCTTTAAATGCTGTCCGGGCGACTCCGCCAACACAGGGGGCGGAGCCATGTGTCAGGAGGTTTCTGCCACTGCCCAGCCCACCTGCTCCCACACTTCCCCCTCTGGTTTTGCGGTTAAAAGAAAATAAAAATAAAAATAAAAAAAGCAAAAACCGCACAAGCGCTCTCTGTCACCCCCCTCCCCAGTTACAACGTTTTACTCGTGTACACTATCATCAACCAGCTTTCATTCATGAGGTTGGCGTTTGTATCCTGGATGAGCGCTTCAGGGCCCCTAAATAAAGAGGGGAAAGTAACTAGTTCTCTCGAAGATGTAAGGTCTAGTTTCTGAATGAGAAGGAAAAAAGGCTGTAGATCATCTGTACACGAAATAAAGTAGGAGAGGATTTCGTTGCCTTCTGCGAACGTTAATAGCGGTGGGATCTGCAACCACGTTTGCCTCTGGGGCTTTATTTACTGCAGAGCGAGGAGGCTGCAGCTCAGGCAGGCAGAGGTCAGGGACCCTTATCCTTGACTCCTCAAGCTCAGTTTTGTGATTCGAGGATGCAGCGGTTAGACATTTACAGATAGCATTTGCGACGTGGAGATTTCTGTTTGTGTCATCGCGTTGGATTTGCAGTGACCTTTCAAAGACTTGAATTTTTGTTGGAGTGTTTGAATTGTCCAGAGGCGACGAACCCGATAACTCGCTATATGGGAGAGAATGATGAGTCATTCTAGATGTCGCAGAAGTCAGTCCTTTCTGACTGAGAGCAGGAGGGATGCCTCGGGAACTAGACTGTGACTTTGAATCCCACTCTGTCACTAATGACTGCGTGACCTTCGGCAAGTCACCAAGCCTACCAACACTTCTTTCCTTATCGGTAAAATGCAGAAACCTAGCACATTTTTTTGTTTTGTTTTTTTGGAGAGGGTTAAGTGAATTGAATCTTATTAATAAGATTCAG